CTTCTCATTCTGCAACTTCAACTTCTCGTTCTGAACGGAAGTGGAGATCGCCGGTCGGTCACCATGTGCGCGGAGCCCGCGGAAAAGCCCTGTGGCGGTAAGCCCTCTTTCGAGTGAGCTGGTTCCGTGCATCTACAGCTCGTTCGAATCGTTCATGACCACCGGCGATTCCATCAAAGGTAAGGTCCAGAGGCTCTGCAGCTTGTTCGAATCCGCCAAGTCCCCGTCTCGGGGCCCTGATGAGACTCAGCGTATAGGAAGGAGCTGCAGGTTTTCGTTGCTCAAAGCCTCCCTCTCCATTTCGAGGCCATCCACGAGCTTGCCTAACCCACTCCCTCAGCCCCTCCACCTCCGCATCCCTTTGGTGAAGCGGAGGGAAGAAGAGACACAAAGGTAAATCAAGCGTCCCTCGGATCCGGTACGAGCTTTTCTCATCCTCTCGGACGAACTCGAGGAGAACCCATATTCGCCCGATCGAGACTCAGACGGTCGTAGGCTCCGTACCACTTGTACGGCGTCGCGGTTCGACGACGACGACGACTTCCGCGAGTCCGACCTCGGGTACGAGCCCGACGATCCCGCATCTCCGCCGTGGTTGGATCTGGCCGAGGAACCCGCAGATGATGGCGAAGAGGACGAGGATGAGGTTGATAGTGTCCCAGCTCTTCTTGACGGAACAGGCGGAAGATCCGGGAAGTAAGGCCGAGGAAGACGAAGAGCCGAGAGAGAGTAGCACCGGTCCGAAGAACCTTTTAGGGTAAAAAGCAAAGGGTGTGTTTTAGTTCGGTTCGATCCGAACCGAACGAAATAAACCGAACGAAAGAAAAAAAGAATGGTTTTTTTAGTATCCGAATAAAACCGAACCGAACCGAAATGCACAAAATTTTTGGTTCGGTTCGGTTCGTTTGTATCTCGATTCGGTTTTTCGGTTCGGTTCTGACACCCCTAGATGAAGTGTGTAAAGCCGCCGTGAGTCGGTGTTTGCATAGAATTGATGAATCAACTCGAAATGAGCTACTTGATGATCGGGCGCCCCTACTCCTTCTCTCAATTGACGCCATTGCAGTTCAGGTTCACCGATTTTTCCCCAAATCCGATTATGCTTGAGAACCCCAGCCCCAAAGAGGAAGGGGAGAGAGAGTCGCAATTGGTCGAATCGAAGATGTAGAGAGAGAGAGAGAGAGAGGAGAGGAGCCAAGATCGATGAGGCACCCAAGACCTGTTTTCTTAATGGGTTGAAAGTTGGTCAATAATGCACCCGCTAAAATCCTTTTCTTTTTTTGGTTCTCTCTTTTAAACACATTATGATCTATATTTTAAAGGGTTGATACTACGAAATTCCCCAAACTGATACGCTTATGATAAATTTACCAAAAACTAATTTTTTTTATCACGAAAAACCCTCAAACTGGTACACCTGTGATAAATTTACCCTCCGTTAATTTTCGTTAAATCTTTAATGTCAAATTGTTGAGTTGGATGATACGTAATAGTTTTTTTTTTTATTGTCTGTCCTATCTTTAACTCTCCTCGCTCTCTGACTTTTGCTATATTTCTTGCAGAACACGGGAGTCAAATCCTTCACCTATGATACTAACTTCCCCACCCCCCAAACCCTTTGCTAGCATGATCGCATACCTATTGGCTGACACATGACAGTTGACGAGTGTATTATTTGAGATTTTATCCCTTCGTTTGTCTCAGGTTTATCAATTTATGATTTTCATTGTATTAATTTAATTTAACAGAAGGTAAATTTGTGACAAGTATACTAATTTAGGGGTTTTTGGTGGTCAAAAAATTAGTTTAGGGTAAATTTATCGTAAGTGTACCAGTTTAGGATTTTTTATGATCAAAAAATTAGTTTAGAATAAATTTATCACAGATAAATTTGAGATTTTTCATAGTATTAAACCTATTTTAAATTTAAGGTGGCTTATATATAATACACTTTAATAAATTTGGGTGAAAACATAGATGGGTGACTCGTTTTGACAGTCCTACTTCAGTATAATCCCCATACGTCAATTATTGAGGAGGAATTATTATGTCAAAAGGAAGGGTTCAATTTGTTCTTGTATTCCACGTAGCACAGCTTTAATATCTTTCGCCCCCACATGCGCAACCATCCAAAGTGGCACGATTTAATCCAACTTGAAAATGAACTGTAATCGACATTTCCCTAAATCGAAAAGTTATCCACGAGGGCGATGGGACATGGACCGAAATTGTTGTTTTATAAAATGCCCATCAGGCGCAATCAAAGAAGTTATTGTATACTACATTTGCATTCATATTTGCTATCTAAAAAAATTTCGCAACGATGAATTTTATCCCTAAAATTTCATAATTTACCTTTAGGGGTCACTAATTCAAATTAAGCTGTAAAGATTTGTTAATAATTTTTTCACTTAGTGTTTACCTCACATGGTGGGCTTAAGTGAATTTTAGGCAAATGTATGGAATTCAAAGTGCGATGGATTTGCATTTATAACATGGAGAGACGAGTGATCGAGTTCATCTTTAGCCCAGATTTCTTCACAGTTATTTCCTTTGGGTCGCATCTTCGCCCAAGTATCTCTAACCGAACTCTCACGTAACTTAACAAACTTTCCCCGCGTGTGAGCTCCAATGTTAAACGTGCAATCCCTTAATCAAGGTCTCTTTCTATAGCAAGAAACCTCAACCGGAATCTCCATCTTATCTGCCAACCACAATGCCCACCTTTGTCCCCGATCTCTTCCGCTAGACCAAACCATAAAGCTTTTTCTCAGTTTCCGTTGCTATGGCATAACGCTCACCTCCACCTCCCTCTCCACCTCCACTGCCACCTCCGATATCTTCCGCTAAATCGAAGCATGAAGGCTACCCAAAAACTCGAATGCTCATGAGATTTCTCCATCGAGATTTTCACCAAACACCAACCCAAATACATATTCAGAGTGATCCAATGAACCATCGGTTCTAATTCCAATTGTTGAGAAGAGCAATAGAAGTCCAATATTTTTCATCTAGCGAAACTATTAAGAGAGAATCAAGTTCGAGCACATTAAACATATTCAATGAGAACAACCTCCATTAAAAAAACAAACTCATAACAACGAAATTACAGACACCCACTAGGATACGCCAATCGCACTGCACCACATCAAATCTGCTATTCAGGATATTATAACGCAACTCGCATGCCCATCTCATCGCAAAATGACAATAGTTCTAGAAATATCATTTTCCATTTACCCGAAAAAAGTTTTTTTCCCTCGGCAAGAATAGAAAACAATATGGACCAACCTTAAAATTGGGAAAATTTCAATTTGGGGTCCAAAGTGGTGCCATTTTCTCAAAATGGGGTCTCAAGTGGATCCAGTGCCAAATTGGTACCCAAAGTCCCCAAAAAGTGTCATATAAGTCCGGTCGCCGGCCAAAATACCCGCCAATGGCGATCCCGCAACCTGTTTGGCTAACGAACAGTGCTTTTATATATTTTTTCTTTTCCTTTTCCTCTTTTTTTTTTCTCCTTTCCCTCCGTCGGCCACGCGGGCGGTTTCCCCGGGGGGGGGCCCCGCGGGGGGGTTTTGCCCTTTCTGGGCGAGGCGACCCGACGCCGGCGAGGCGAGGAGTAAGGCGACTCGCCACCCGGGTAGGCCGGGGTGGCGGTGGTTGGTCCGGCGAGGAGGGGCTGGTCTGGCGATTGAGCAAGGAAGCCGAGTGGAAGTAGAGGCAGCGAAGCAAAAAAAATGAAGAAGGAGCAGCAGAAGACACGAAGCAGCAGAAAGGAAGAAGAAGGGGAAAAGAAAAAAAGGAAGGTCGCCCTCGCCAGCGTCGGGCGAGGGCCGCCCAGCCTTCCCCGCGTGGGCGAGGTAAGGCTCGCCCTTGCGATCCTCGGAGGGCAACCACACGCCATCACGCCGGATCCGGCGAGGTCGGCCCCTCGCCCGCTCCTCCCCACTGACCAGCGAGCGTTGCCCTCGCAGTGGGGAAGGCCGCCCGCCCGACGCCGACGAGGGCAACCTCGCTACGGCGTCCACCGGACACCTGGCGCGGGCCCTTGCCGACCCTTTTGCCCCCCCCCCAAAAAAAAAACCTCCCCAAGGGGGGGGGGAGAAAAAAAAAAAAAAAAAAAAAAAAAAAATTACTGTTCGCCGAACTATAAAATAACTATTTATCCTACTTGACTAAATTGAGACCCTGACAAAATTGAGATTAGATCACTTGAAATCTCATTTTGAGACTGATTACACTTGAGATCCCATTTTTAGAAAATGGCCTCACTTCGGACCTCAAATTGAAAAATTCCCCTTAAAAATTAAAAAAAAAAGATCGCAAAGAAATCTTAGGAGGTGATGTAAAGGAAAACAGCCGATAAGGGATTTCACGGACAAACAACGATTGGACAGGACAAGCCCTCTCCCCCAATCCATTCCCTTTGCAGATAACCCTTTCATCCTCCACCACACATCATCAACCGACCCATCCGCCGCTCCTGCCCACGGCGTTACCGTGAGCCCCACCAATCTCCACCGTCCATCTACATCTGTCCTCGGGTCACGATTTTGATATATTTGCAACTATAAAATTTACTTGTAATGAAAACAAAATAAAATTTTTAGGGGCAAATACTACGAAAAAAAAAAACCTCAAACTACGGGTCACCAAAAGCCTACTCTCTACTTCAGTTTCATATATAGTCACACTGTAATAAATTCGAGATTATTTATAACAGAAAAAAAAACGTTTGAGGTGTTTATGTCGCAATACACAAGTTTAGGATTTTTAGTGACACAAAAAAATTTGGAATATATGTGTTACAATGAACATGATTTGAGAGTTTTTTTATTAACCGTTTTTTTTTATTATGTGAATTAAAGAAGCCATGTTGTCTAATATTATAATTTCTTCTGTTGAGATTTATATTTTGTGAATATAGTGGCCAACCATTCTTGCCAGTTAATATGATTTGCGGACTGCCATGTGCTACCCCGGGGCGCGAAGCAGGGGATCGCGAGGATAACGGGCGGGCGCGCACTCCCAGCTCGCCCGTGTCCCGCGGCGCATGATAGTGCCGCCGGCGCAGGTTAAGTCTTATCCGCCCCGGCGATATCCTCATAAGCTTTAACGAGGCCTCGCGCAGAGCCACTGGTAGTGCACTTCCCTCATCTCTCTCTCTCTCTGGAACCATGGAGTCGCGAGTGCTGTCACGCGCCGCCGCCTTCTCCGCCGCCGTCCCCCAGCTCCGGAAGCTCCCGCGGGAGGGCTCCCGGGGCGGGGGCGGCGGCGGCCTCCTCTGCTTCGCCGCGCCGAGGCAGGTCGGAGCCGTCGGCGAGGGCGGGAACCTGATCTGGGGGAGGCAGCTCCGGCCGGCGCCGCTGCTGCTGCTGGAGAGCTCGCGTGGGGCGGGGAGGAAGGAGATCCTCCGGCCGGGCCCCGCCGCCGCTTCGTCGCCGGCCGAGGGGGGCGATTCCGCCGGGTGAGGTCCGTTCCCCTTCCGTTTTTCCGACTCGGCGAGCTCCGGCGAGCGTGTTGCCTAACTGACATTCTTCCCTTCCTGGCTCCTCATTGCAGCGAAGCGAAGATCGGGCCGGTCGGTTTCTTCGAGAAGTACCCGGCGCTCGTCACCGGATTCTTCTTCTTCATGTGGTGAGTGTTCAAATCTCCCTCCGAAACCACTGTTCGTCCACGCAAAGTCGAAAATTCCGGCGAGCCGCCGCTAAGCTGAGCCCGGTGCGCACGGCGCACGATAGCGCGCCGGGAGCGCCGGGACTCGCGCGTCCAACGGTCGAAACGGTCCGAATAGTAGTCGTTCAAACCCTCTCCCCCGGTCCAGCGGGAGGGGATGGGCCGCTGTATGAATTTACGGAAATGCCCCCTCTTCCCCCTTGGTTGCAGGTACTTCTTGAACGTCATATTCAACATCCTCAACAAGAAGATATACAACTACTTCCCCTATCCTTAGTAAGTTCGAACTCTTTCTTAATAATGATGAGATCTAATTGTGGTTTTGTGCGGAAGTTTGAGGACGGTGACGAGGGTTTGGTTTTGCGTGTTGTTGGACTCTGCAGCTTTGTGTCGGTTGTGCATTTGTTCGTTGGGGTGGTGTACTGTTTGGTGAGCTGGGCCGTGGGCCTCCCGAAGCGAGCTGTAAGTCCAGACCCAGTAATTTTGTCCATCCGTTCATTCATCTACCCTTCTTCTTTTGGCTCTATTCCGTTCTTTATTTGCTATTAACGATGAATTGAAGCATAAAGTCCGAAGCTTTCAGAGCTTGATTGCAACAAGAAGTACCAAAAACAGTTTTGTTTTTGTTTTCCTGCGTTGTACTGTGAGATTGGAGTGTAAAGATTCACAGATTCTGCGGTCTGGGTTCTGGCTTATCTTATATTATTCTATGTCGGATGTGGGATGACAGAGACAAACGACTGCCATCTTCTTTTTTCCTGTGTGGCTTAAGGACACAAAGTTGGCATTCTTAATTCATAGTCGTCCAATGATAGTTTGCTGAGTCCCAGTTCATTCTTTAAAGGAAAAATAGAATGGCAATCTTTCCTTCAGTGGCAAATAGTCCGGCTTTAATCTTGTGCTGAATGGGGTAATGGTACAAGTGTATGTGTGATAAGTGTTCATGGACTGTTAGTTGATGTGTGTGCACCAAAAACTTACTTGAACGGATGTACGAATAGGACCTCCTTTTGCCTTCTGAAAATCAAAGTAGATGGAGGCCTTGAGCTTCCATTCTTAGCAGTCTCCAGCTATTTTGGTCTTTTCCGTCTTTCTTGTCTGTCATCGGCATTATGTGGCGATTGGTGTTCGAAGGGCATCGATCTTAAATTGAAGAGGCTAAATCTCCATGCACTGTTATTATCTCCTTCGCTGTTTTGATTGAGCCAAAGTTGTATGATGGAGATGCTTCTTTCTAGTTTTGTCACCATATGTCGCTTTAGCATAGTGATTACATGATACTTGAATCTCGTAAGTGCAATTCCATTCGGTGCTCAATGTCATATTAACCCCTGCTGTTATCTGCTACAGTCAAATGGGTTTGAGGTTGTATTGAATCTATAACTTTGTTTCGTCCCTGCTGTCTTTAATTTCTGCAACATTATCTGTTGTCTAAACTATTGAAGCTGTCGGTTCTATGCGCAGCCAATTGATTCAAACCTCCTGAAGGTGCTTATTCCTGTTGCTGTTTGTCATGCACTTGGTCACGTTACCAGCAATGTTTCCTTTGCAGCTGTTGCTGTTTCCTTCACGCATACCATTAAAGGTAAAATAGCATTTATTTGTCTGATAGGGAGCAAAAGATAAAGATAATGCCCGCTTTTCTACATCTTCTTCCTGTTAGTTTTGTAATACTCTACTTCCTTAATTCCTGCTATATTGATTTCAGCTCTTGAGCCGTTCTTCAATGCTGCTGCTTCTCAATTTGTACTTGGACAATCAATCCCCATTACCTTGTGGCTGTCTCTGGCTCCTGTCGTCCTTGGTCAGTTCTACCTTCTTTTACTGTCTTTTTTAAATCAGTAGCATACAACCATGTTTGAGTCACATTATTCGACTTCAAATCTCTAGTCTGGGAGATCTCCACTTTCATGGATCTAGCTCCTTGATGACTGCTATTCATGCAGCTTAGTTTACACAGACAGGCATGCATGCACTCATGTAAGTAGTCAGGTTGGTTTATGTATTTAGATGTGTTGGCGTTAGCTGCATGGTGGATCATGCGAGTATTTGTAATTGTAATTTGTCAATGCTAGAGGAGTATTTTCTGATCTATTTCTAACATATTTTTTGGTTTGATTTATCATCCAGGTGTCTCCATGGCATCATTGACTGAACTCTCTTTCAATTGGACTGGATTTATTAGTGCTATGATTTCCAACGTTTCATTCACTTACAGAAGTATATACTCCAAGAAAGCCATGGTGATGTTCAGTTATACCATTATCATGCTTCTTTTATATTTCTAGTTGTCATGCCTTTTTTTTCTTTTTGCATGATGAATCGATGATTGATATGTCTAACTCAAAAGTATCTTTTGTGAATATTTGTTTGTCATCTTCTGCAGACTGATATGGATAGTACAAATGTCTATGCCTACATTTCCATCATCGCCCTCTTTGTCTGCATTCCACCGGCCCTTATTGTGAGGAATGCTTGTGCTATTTTTTCCTGATTGGTGTAATTATGAGTGATAACTTAAATATGGAGGCCCAAAATTCATCCTTGTGTTTTGTTATGTGAAGATCGAAGGACCTCAACTGATGAAGCATGGCTTCAATGATGCAATTGCAAAAGTGGGTATGACCAAGTTTGTTTCTGATCTCTTTTGGGTGGGAATGTTTTACCACCTCTATAATCAGGTACTATTCCACTAATGTCTATCCGACTCGTATGACCAGAGAATATCTTTTGTTAACCGACTATTATCGACGAAGTAATGAAATTGCAAGTTACTTTGGTATCAAGTCGAATGGTCCTAATAAATGACAAACATTTCCATATGTTTTTTAGTTGGCCACCAATACCTTGGAAAGAGTCGCACCTCTAACACATGCAGTTGGAAATGTCCTCAAACGTGTCTTTGTGATCGGCTTCTCAATCTTAGCTTTCGGTGAGTATGCATCTAATTCCGGTTTAATTAGTGTTTGCTTCCTTTTCCCCCTCTACTATTCGATTAGAAATCCTAGGAAAAATGGGATACTGATTAAGTGCTCTCCTTACAGGTAACAAGATCTCAACTCAAACTGGTATTGGCACTGTTATTGCAATTGCTGGAGTTGCAATTTACTCGTTCATTAAGGCAAAGATGGAAGAAGAGAAACGGGTGAGTCTCGACTGCTGGCTTGACATTCGAGACCTATTTCATCGGTCTCTAACTCTAGGTCTTGTTTGGTTAGCATGCCAGTGTTTTAGGGTCTAGAGAAAGCTTGGGTTGCGCATGATTAATCTTTTATGGTATGAATTGGGGCTCAAGCCAGTGTTATTAACTTCTGTATATACTTGGAATTTCATTGCAGCAACTGAAATCGACTTGAGAAGAAGCGAGACGAGGAAGCGGACCGCCAAACCTTGTAGGCCTGTGTACTTTCCCTCGAAGATGAAAACGAAAAATCCTAATATGATAATTAAGTTTTTTTTTCCTAATAATTTTCTTTAATTCGGAAGCATTGAAGGAGTGCCGTTGTACAATCATCCCTTGTTACCAAGAATAATGTATCATCTGCTCTCTCTTGTTGAGATTATATGAGTGAAAACTGCAGTCCATATGATGGAAAGACAACACATGAAACTGCCCGCAGCAAGATCATGTGAAAAATTTCACTTCAACGAAATAACGAAAACCGCCGACGTCTCGCCCTACAACCGGTTGACATGTTTGTCCGGTGGACAACCCCGCCAAGAGTTGATTTTAGTCAGTCAGGCGAATTGAGAAGAGACTGTGCAAGTACAAAGAAGAACTAGGGACTTCAAACTGAACGTGTTAGGTTTGATGCAATCACACGGATGGCAATCGGCGCGGCGGGGCGGGGCAGGGGGTGGATTAGCGCTCCCGGCAGTGCCACCCCACGCCACGGCCCCTAATTCTTCTCCCCGTCCTCGCCTCATTGCCTTGGACAGTGATGCATGACCCCGCAATTAGAGTAAGGTCCTTTGTTGCCCACAAAACTGGACAAGAAGTTAGTACAGATCAGGATAACAGAGACTTCTTAGATTGAAAGAGATGGTAAGATTTTAGCGAAAAAAAAAAAAAGGAAAGAGATGGTAAGATGATGCTCGTGAGAGAGGATAGTCAGTTGAAGGAAAGGTGGCTGTTTTAAGCATGAATACCAAAATAGGGCCATAAAACTAAAGTAATAGTTGGTAATATCCGCGGCTTTCCGATCATTTCAATCAAGTCCCTAAGCTATTTTAATAAAGAAAAAATGACATAAATAGTCCATGAAGTTTGGCCCAATATGCAACGTGGTCCATATACTTTTAATTTGTTCAATATAACCCCTAAACTTTAGCTTAATGCAGAATGTGGTTCCTGAACTTTTAATTTGTTCAATATCGTTCTTGAACTTTTGGAACATGTTCAATTTAGTTCATAAACTATTTCAGGGATTAAATTGAACATGTACCAAAAGTCGATAGATCACATTGAACAAGTTAAAAATTCAGGGATCACATTGAATATTAAACTAACATTGATGGATTACACTGAATAAATTAAAGTTCTACACTGTATATTAAGCCAAAGTTTATGGACTATTTGTGTCATTATCCCTTTAATATATTCACCCTCTCAAACCTCACATTAGTTAGCGTTATTGGAATTTGCTGAAATGGACATAATCTAGTAAAGTTAGGCTGCGCATGGCAACTTGCCAAATAGTGTTTGATTCGTTCTTTTGTCCCCGAATCGGTTTGGGAATAGAAATCCGTTTGTTTAATTTTTTGATTACGGGCACAAATTCTTGCAAATTTGTGCCTGAATCGATTTTGACGAGAATCAAGAATAAAAAAAAGTAGCTTCTTGATTAAGGAACAAAAATGAGAATCAGTTTTTCTTCTTCTTCTTCTTTTTCTTGGTTTTTAATATAGCTTCTAATGTCCGGCGCGAGGGCCACCCTCACCGTATCGGGCGAGATTAAAATATTTTAATAAAAAATTATTATTATTAAAAAAAATTTAATAAAAAAATTTTACTGGCCATGGCCAGCGACTAGGCCATGGCGAAAAAAATAAAAAAATTATTTTCAATAAAAATATTTTAATAAAAAAATTATTTATAAAAAAATATTTTACCGGCCATGGCAAAAAAAATAAAAAAATAATTTCAATAAAAATATTTTTTTATTAAAATATTATTAATAAAAAATTATTTATAAAAAAATATTTTACCGGCCATGGCCAGCGACCAGGCCATGGCGAAAAAAAAAGAAAAAAATATTTTCAATAAAAATATTTTTTAGTAAAATATTTTTTAAAAAATTATTAATAAAAAAATTATTTATAAGAAAAATTTTTACCGGCCATGGCCAAAAAAATAAAAAAATTATTTTTAATAAAAGTATTATTAATTAAAAAATATTTTACCGGCCATGGCCAAGAAGGAGGAGAAGAAAAAAAGAAAAGAAAGAAATATTAAAATATTTAAAATGTTATTAAAATATTATTAATAAAAAGAAATTTTTTCCGTTACCAAACGCATTTCTGTTCTTTTACTATTTCAGAATAGAAATTTTGGGTCGTTACCAAACGCTTTCAAATGCTCGGAATCGAGTTTTCGGCACGAGAATCAAAAAGAATCATTTCGATCGAATGCTCTTCGGCACGGAATGGTTGCCAGCAACTCTTAACATCTTGTAGAGAACGTTGTACACTTGGATTTGGTATGTGCATATCCACCAGAAACTACAAATCTCTTTGTAGAAATCGAAAAATGTCATCCCGAATTTTCATTGGACGGAATCTCCATTGAAAGTTTGAAAAATGAGATGTTATTAGTTGCCAACCCCACTTTGGGTTTCGTTAGGATGCAAATATAAGTAGTGCCAAAAAAAATTTCCACATAGGAGATTTGGTGTGGCGTGGTGTAGAGTAGTTGCTATAACCTAGTTAACCCATAACTCAAATATAGGTCCAATTGAATATATTGATTGGCTCAAACTTGGGTTCCCTCTTTGCGATTTCTCTGCGTTAAGGTATTGAACTTTTACTGCGCGCGCCCCAACAAATTGGTATGAGAGCCAATGGTTGATTAGTGGGGTTCCGATGTTGGTGGATGAAGTTGGACATAATTTCCAGGCAGTGGGAATTGTCATATAACAATGCAAACTCGGTGGCAGATTTCATATCTTGATGCAGAAGAATACCTGAATTAAGGGAGAGCAAACCTAACGCTAAACTCATGAGTGAAGGAGAGATTATTAGTGATAGAATATTAAAATATTAAATTACGCCTTCATCTAATACTTTAAATTTTTAGAACAGTTGGCAGTAGTCCCACTAAAATCTCACATGGTATCAGAGCTAAAGGCCCTAAATTTGAATCTTTTCATGCCCCAATTAAATATTTTCACGCTTAATACTGGGCAACAAGACCGAACTAAATGTGAGGGGGAGTGATAGAATATTAAAAAATTAAACTATACATTCATCTAATAGTTTAAATTTTTAAAATAGTTAGCAATGATCTCACCAAAATCTCATATGAACATAGGTCCAATTGAACATATATAACGCTCAGACTCTTAGACTTGAGCACCTCTTGGCGATCTCTCCGTGTTAAGGTATCCGACTTCTGCTGCGCACCCCCAACAAACTTCTTCCCTTGTGTACAGTGCGAGGGTTGGTGGAGGGATAAGGGGCTTTGTCGCCCTCTCCATCGGGAAGGCATGTGCTATCCACCCCTCGTGGGAGTCTCAACGATGGCAATCGACCCTTGCTTAATCACCAATTAGGACGGGCACTCTCGAGTGATGGGTGGCGCCAGCACTAAGAAGGACCGTGAGGGTCAACTGACCCTTGATCGTCGACACCGCCATCTAGTGCCACGCTATTGAGCGAGGGCCGACCGCTCTCGCCGAGACTTTGGCCATTGCAAGTAATGGTGCCATCGCCCTGCGAGGGCCTTACGCATCCATGGGCGAGGCCCGGTTGCCCTCGTTGAGATCATGGCAAGAGCCGCCGGCCCCTCGCTCTAGCCTTCTTCTTTTTTTAATTACTTTTGAATTAAATTTTTGCTGACTTGGCTACGTAAGTCCGAAAATATGGGTGCCACGTGTAAAAGAAATCAATTTGCCGATTAAGGTCTTGCTTAGGACCTTCAAGAATCATTTTTTTTTTATCGTTCCTTCTTTTTTTTTTCAAATTTTTCCCTTTTTTTCTCGTGAGTGTCGAGAGTCTCCCTCCGATCTCGTCGCCGTCGTCGAGTCCTCGAGGCGAGACACCGGAGATGGCGGCGAACCTCCTCCGGCTGCTCCCGGCCATCTTCCCGCTCCTCCTCCTCCTCCTCCTCCGTCTCTCGCGCTCCTCCGCCGAGCTCCCCCAGTCGACGGCGTGCCCAGCTCCACAGGCCCGCCACGGCTTGGCCTGCGAGTTGCGCGATTTGAAGCTCCACGTCGCCCGCCTCGGTAAGCTTTCCTTCCCTACCGTCTGAACGCGCCGTGGTTCAGTCGAGCCCATGTTTTGAGCGAACGGATGATTGGCTCCAAACTAGATCGTAAGGAGGTCCGGACTGTGAATGAGCTTGTAAAATTTGTGGGTTGGGGGCTGCTGGTTACGTCTGGAAGGTTGTGGAGTGAAGCTGAACGTTCGTGAATGGTATTAGTTCAGGTTTTCCATTCTGAAGATAGCTTGGTGGGCTTCAATTTACCGCCATCTTCGTAGGGTCCCAGAAATTATAAGATCAATGAGGGAAGAACGCAGTCAACTGGCGATATTGTAAATCTGCTGTCAGATTGGTTACGTTACCCGGTTTTGGTAGAAGGGTAGTTAGTGATTGGCGAAAAAGCTCCGTGTGCAGCTTGGGAGATGAGATCACGGAAGTAGGGTGGCAAGGTCTTGTTTATAATCTCATTGGGTTTAATATTCTTTGAGTGATTAGTATCTTTTCACGCAATGTGCAATGAAAACTCACTTGCTTATATATGTAGGTCTCTGGTGTTTCTCGTTCAAAGTAGTGATTTTTTCGCTGCTTATATTATCAGCAAATTTTTGTGTGAAATAGCCTTTTGAATTGCTACATTTGTCTGCCATTGCATCGTTGACGTCGAGAAACTAAGTTGGGAGCGTCATGTTATGCACCATCAGATACTTTTGCTGTTCTTTTGGGGACTTCATAGTATTGAACCTGTTTTGGTTTCCATTATAATTCTTCTTTTAGGCTTCTTCAAGATATTAAGGAAAAAAACTTTTTTCTGGCAGAAGGACCCACTGATGTGAATTCCATTGCTTCTATCATGATTATCGAAAATTAATTTGTTACTCTGTCTACATCCTGGCTGTTTGCTTGCATAGCAGTGGAAAAAAAAATCTGAAACTCATGGTTATTGTTCCTAGAATTTTCTCTGCCACTGCATCTGTTGTTGGAGAGGGTACTGACCTTAAATGAGAGTTGCTGATGGAACAATGCAGAATCCATCCTTGAAGAGAGGACCCAACACTTGGATGCTAAAGGCCTTCATCTCAAACAGCATGAGAAGCGAGTTGAAGAAGTGTCACATAAGATCATTTCCTTGCAGTTGACT